GTGAGGGGTGAGGGGTGAGGGGTGAGGAGTGAGGGGTGAGGGGTGAGGGGTGAGGGGTGAGGGGGTGAGGGGGTGAGGGGATGAGGGGGGTGAGGAGTAGGGGTGAGGGGGTGTGGAGTAGAGGGTGAGGGGTAAGGGGTACGAGGTAGGGGGTGGGGAGTCTTGCTATTTGATTTCAATTATTGAGAGCTGACCATAAACAGGTCAACACCCTCAGGCTGACCAGCGTTATTTGGCTTCACCCCTTCCCCTCTCCCCTCACTCCTGTTTTAGACCTAAATGCACCTGATAAAAAGATACAAACCTCGATGATTGTTACGTAACCCCTTGAGGCCGAATATTAAAATAGAAACTCTCTCAACTGGTTATTTGAAGGTATACTATTTTCAGGCAATGCCTCAGATTTTCCGAGGGATTTAAGTTACGTTCCATCAAATTTTTCCTCTAATAATAGTTCGCTACATTCTTATATATCTAATTACAACAAATGATCACCATTTAGCAGTTTATTTCCTTTGATTTGTCGTAGTTTTAGTGATTTTTGATGATTCTCTCGGCTCCAACAGACATGATCACCCAATTCGTGTAGGAAAATCTCTAGATTTTCACGATTGCTAGACTCCGGTTCGTGCTCTGACTACCCTGCGAGTAGTAAAAACCAACTACTCGCAAGGTATGCTCTGGCTAAAGCAAACAAAGTAGTATACGATCTCTAGCTTAGACGAGCAGTTTAAAGAAATATATCACTTTCTTACCATCCAATCGCGACCATTCGCATCCCAGATAAATACATCGGAGCCATCCTGCCACAAATACCGATTAAAACGTACTACTCTGACTTGTGCGAAAACCTCTGCTAAATTGCCGCCATATTGAATACTGCGAGAATCTGGGAATTAGATTAGTGCAGTCGCGTCTTGCTAACTTCCGGTTCCGGTTGGAAAACAAATAGGACCGTACGCGGTAGTCCTTTCATATCGGTTTGTACGAACAGTCGACGGAAAGTTCTTTTCCATCTGTTCGTGTCCATCATCGTTGATTTTAATGGTAAGCAGCACCTCTTAAGGTCAACTCGGCTGTGAAAAGGCTCTCTTGTCGAGGATGGGGTCAGCGCCAGGAGAGAGCCCGCCACCCCGAACCCCATCGGCCCTCTCGGCCACTTCACTCTCAGCCGGTTCTTTGTCGGCCCTTCTAGCTGCGGTCAGACCCTTCCAGCAGGAGCCTGTTTACAAGCTATCAGCAGGAGCTATCGGTCAGTTTGATGATCATGATTTTGGAATAAACATTTACATTTTACCCAATTTGTCATGAAGACCAACTGCCACCCGAAGGCCGCCTACCCCAACCCCCTCAACCCCCCAAACGGTTGATCTTATAACACCCCCGGGGGGAACTACCATATAAAGAGTACGGGGATGCTCGTCAGAAATTTTGAAAAGAGCCCCTAAGAGGTACCAAGTTCCTGCTATGTGGGCGTGGCTTGAAACTTTTTTCACCCCTTGGAGGTACCAATTCAAGAACGACACACTATCTCCTGTCATATGTTTTTGGCTCAATATCCTAAAAGGTACCGAAGTAACTCCTGCTGTGGAACTTTTGAGGGTGAACCCCGGGGGAGGTACTTTGGGAATTTCTGGGTGGGAATGTGCCGCTGGGACCCTGGAACCCTTAGCCTATACCAGAGCTAGTTCAGCTGAATTTTGCTAACCTATACTAGAGTAAACTCCCCAAATCCCCCCATCTATCGACACTGTTGAGGCTGATTTGCGTAAATTCTAACTTGCCGATTTGATTTTTTTAATATTTTTGAATGGCAATTTCTCGTTTCCTTACTCTAGATAAAATCTTCAACCAACCAGTCAGTTTTGTGAAAAATGATAC